CTAGGATTTACCACTACACTATTTTGGTTTTTCAAGATTAGCCTTCCTGCCTATACATATCTAGATTTACTGTATATATCAGTCCTTCCTTGGATTTTCTCTACAACAAGAACCCTGTGAGGTAGGCTGGGCTGAGAAAGAATGACTGGTTCAAAGTCACCTAGGAAGCTTCAGTAGCTCAGGATCAACTCAAACGTGGGTCTTCCTACTGCTGGTCCAACACTGTTACCACCTCACATGACAGGTTCTCTTCTTCAGTGGACTTCTATTCTGCCCACCCCCATGAGCTCAAGGGGGTGTATAAAATGCTCCCTCTTCTATTTTTTCCCACAAGAAGAACGCTGTGAGGACAGCTGGGCTGAGGGAGAGTGACTGGTCTAAAGTCTGCAAGAAAGCCTCTCCTAGTGATGGTGGACCAGAACCTGGATCTTTCCAGTCTTAGTCCAACAGTTTAACCACTATACAAGCCTGCCTCTTTCAACTTTTCAGTATGATCTATAGTCCTGAGATTTTTCTGTGGTCTCCCATCCAAGTACTACCAGATTCAAATCAGCTTCACAAACCAACAAAGAAGAACCTTTAGAAACGATTGGGCAACTGAATTTAGCATGGAAGTTCCCATTTTCAGTTTTCATGGGCTTCCATTGCATACATGCAGCTCAATCAGGCATAGAATGTGGAAGGTGCCTCCCCCAAGGCACCTATCTGGTGTCACACCTCCCAACTCAAGGAAGGGTAACTCATCTTCAGAGCTGCAGCACAACAGAAAGAGCTTGGTGGGGAGAAATGCCAGGAGGACCCAAGCTGAGGTCCTGAAATTGCAGGTTCATTGGGTGAGGCCCAGAGAGGCCTTCCCCAATGCTTACCCAACTGTGATTTTTAATGTGACCAAGGAGAAAATGAGACCCATAGCTGGAGAGAATCCACATTCACTATATTCAGTGGACCCTGTTCTTGAAAAGGGAAATGGAGGCGCTGGGTTGGGTCAGAGAGGCTCTAACTGAGTGGCAAGATCTCAGCAGGATCTCTCAGGGATTAAACCACATGATCAAACTTTACTTTAGGTTCATACATGGCTTCAGGTTTTCCAACACAGCATGACATGGCTACCTAAGAACCTTTATTACATGCTTTATTACATTCCTTGCTGGCTGGGGAATTCTGGAAGTTGAAGTCCACCCATCTTAAAGTTGCCAAGGTTGAGGAACCCTGACCTACAAGAAAGGGTGGACCTGTCGAAACCAAGAGCAAGACAAAGTCCAATTGCCTGAATGGAGGTTGAGCATGAACATTAGCAGAAAGGTCTGCCCAGAACAGGGGTGGATTCCTTCAACATTTAAAAGGGGAGGGGTCAATGGTCCTCCAGGGGGGATTGGTGGATCCCTGACTGAGCATGGGTTGGATTAAATCATACCGTCCTGGACCCCCTCACAACTTTGGGGAGTGGAACCTCTTGTACATAGCAAGTCTCCCCCCGCTCCACCCAGACTGTGGACCTCTGTGGAGTCATGGGAGCCCTCCCAGTGAGGATAACACGTTCAAATTGGTTCAGCTATCCTTTGCCAGAGATTAGTGGAAGTCTGCCTAAAATCATAAAACAGCTTTGAAGAACGAGGAATGGAGCCAACATCATACTGCAAGCTCTGATGATGTCCTGGCTGAGATTGGGCTCTTGTTTGTCTCCTACCGCCAAAGTAACCCACCCTGGATTTAATTTTATTATTTAAATAGTGCAAGGAGCAAGGCAGACATCAGTTCATGAATCCTGTGGGAAGCCAGCTTGTTCTTTAATAAAGGCAAGATTTTGGTGGTGCTCTCCATAATCAGAGGAATAAAAACATAAAAAAGTCTTTTAGCTAATCAATCAGCCAAATAGGATGAATGTGTAAAAATCAGAACTGCCTCGATCACTCCATCCTGAGTGAGGGGTCATTAGCCAGGCAGCTGGGTGGAAGATGTGTGTGTCTGCATGATGCGCTTGTTATCACCAAGCACCGTGCAGTTATAGGGAACACACACTTTAAGAGACATATTTGATTATTGTTAAAAAAAGATCTTGGATTCACAAAGGCACAACTGTAAGAATGCTTGTAATTTATCCAAGTGTGAGCCATGAAATAGCTGAGGTTGGTTACATAATAAGAGGGGCTGTTTTAGTTTAATAGAATCCAATATAACTGCAAACCCATGTTTTTGTTTCATTTTATTTTGCTTTTCAGAGCAACCCCAGGACAGATGCTCCTTTTGTGGAGGAGAGAGCAAAACCCTATGAGGCAGGACCCGTTGGAAGAGACTCGAGGGGAGGGTGCTGCAGCGTCCAGCACGAGGTCCCCAAAGGGCACCTGAGATGTTCAGCCAGGACCTGGGAAGAAGGAAAGCATGCGGCAAGCAGAGGGGAACATCACGGTTGGGATGCAAAGAAGCAGGGCGAGAGCTTTTTTGAGGGGGGGGAGCTGCCAAGAATGGGACCTGCTACAAAGGGGGCAGTTCGATCCTTCCATCAATAGTCACTTGGGGGTTCACAGGATGTGGTCAAAACAGGCATGATGGTGCAATCAAAACTCCACCTGCTTTTGTGTATGATGTACATTTGTTTCGATTGCTCCACTGTGGCCCCCTTGACTTGTTTGACCACAGCCCATGGACAACCCTGTTGTCTTTGGGGAGAGGAAGCTCCATTTCTGAACCAGTTGGTTCATTGTTCTGAGAGAAAGGGCATATTCAGAGTGCACCAGCCAAAATGGAAGCCAAGGAAGTACATTAACAAAAAGGCTCCCACAGTGACATAATGCCAGTTTACCAGAATGTTAACTGGCAAGGTATTCTCAGCCCCTTCCCAGATCCCGCCCCTTGCTTTTTTTTCTGGGCAGGTGGACACCCTTCCACCCTGGGAAGGAACCAATCGCCATGTTTATTTTCCAAGAATGCCACTGAGGCCTATGGGGAGCTCAGCACCATTCCTGTAAATAAAGTTGCTAAGGCTTTGCCACTTTTTACTCTGCGTTATTCTTTTTAACTAGAATGTTGAAAACAATTGAGTCAGGTGGGAGGGAGATTAGCAGGCGCCAAGACAGCCATCTGTGGACCTTCTGGGCCCGTGAGCACCAGGTCTTCTACCCTCCCAAAACCACCTTTCCTAACTTGGCGTCCACAAAATGTGTTGGATTATATCTCCTATGCTTTTGTGAGGCACGGAGGGACCTTAGATTTGGGGCTTTCCAGCTATACTGGAACAATTTCCAGAATTTCCATGTTGGTTGGGAATTGGGGTTCAACACATTTGCTTTTACTGTTAAACAACTTCCAGAGTTAGGAAACTTCTCCTGATGTTTTCCAACCTCTGCTTCCTCACAAACACCATCCTTAACTTCACGTCTGCTCTATCTTCCACCTGGGCCTTTGAAGACCACCATTTTCTTCATGCTTCATGCTCAGTTCAACCATTCTTTGCTGGCTTTGTTTCTGAGCTCCCAACCTGCTCTAGAAAAAATGGCACAGGAAACCAAGATGGAACTTCCAAGGCAGAATATTTCTCAAAGCAATCAGGTCCTGTGGTCTGAGCACTACGTTTTGGTTTATGCCATTTTAAGCACTCTGGTTGCACTGTGGGTGTCTAGATTTTTCCAACCTGTATTGCTGCCTACCTGGCCATCACAAGTTACAGGAAGGCAGATTCTGATTGAGGGAGGAAGGGAGGGAAAACCCAAACAGGAAGAGTAATTGCCCAGAAGAACCAATTAGCCAAAGATGGGAAGACTCCTTGTTGATGGATATATTGGACAACCGGCTTCAGTGAGAGTTAAATTTGGATCCCTGCACTGGCAGAGCATTGAACTCAACAACCCCTTCCAGCTCTCTGATCCTATGATACTTTACCCAGAACAACGAACAAGTAGCTCCTTTCTATCCTTTACTGCACTTGGAACTTGCTCTCCTTTTCAGTTGTTTTCATTATTGACCATATGACAAAAACGTGAAGAACGGTTTCCCCAAATCTGGTGACCCTGCAGGAACACTGGCACTGGCAGGTGCAATTGGTATACACCTGGAAAGTGCCCCCTCAGGGAAGGCTGTGGTAGAGGATGGGTCCCCTTTATAAAGTGGGACCATTTTTACCTTCGAGCAAAGCTGCTGCAAGGAAGTAGCATGAGCCCTGCTGACAGGGCGTCCAGCAGGGGAGTGGGAGGTCAAAAACGGTAAAAATGGCAGTCACAGCTGTGCAACTGAAGCCTCACCTCATTTTTGTAAAAAAGGGGTAGAGCTTTGATGGGGTGGTTGCAGCCATTGTGACCCCCCATTCTGCCGATGCCCGTTTGAAGGGTTTTCCAGTGCTCTTCATGTCCTCAATGCTGGCTTCTTTTGGCTCCCCTGACCAAAGCAATCATTGCGCCACCTGATGAGACACTTGATAGCTGTAAAAAGTAATTAAATACAGGTCATCCTTGTTTGGTAACCACAACTGGAACCGTCAACTCGGTTGTTAAGCAAAGCGGTCACTAAGTAAAACCACGCCAGTGCTTATGATCTGACTTCACCTTTCCTCTGCTTTACAGATTGCGAAGGTTGTCAATGTGAGGATTGGTTGTAAAAGAGTTGCTTTTTAATGAGATGGACGGTGACAAATTTGATAAATAAATAATTACTTTTTCATCATCATCATAACTGCAAATGGTCACTATCTGAGGCAGTCGCTAAACTAGGACTCCCTGTATGTGGAGAGCAATGGTCTTTAAAGGCTATGAAATGTGAATGCAATTAAATCAAATGTAGTTTTTACCCTGGCACCAATCCACTTCTTTGCCCTGGATGTGCAAGTATTTTGGACTGGGTCCCTGGCATGTTGCTCAGAATATACCGTGCTCTCCATTTTAAGAGAGCGCACGGCCTTCTAAAGGAACATAGGTGGGGACTCCTTTTCACTTCATTCCATGCCAACTCTAGAAGTATATTTTGTTGAAGTCGTAAATAGTCCCTCTTCCCATGTTCTTTATTTAAAAAAAAACAAAAAACAAGACACTGGGGGCACCTATAATGCAAATAGTTTATTATCAATGAGCAACTGGTACTAGCTTTTGGCCTGGGTATTACTATTAAAAAACTATACAGCCAAAACTCTGGCATTACTCCAATATTTGCTGTATATTTTTTCCATCCTTTTTTTAAAAAAACTGTAGTACTGAAAGACTTTTAGCCAAAGTGCATTTTCCATTTTTTGTCCATATACACATTGCACCGTACATAAATAATGACATTGTAAAAATGACTCCATAATTACAAGTATAATATATATTTTCATATAATATATATAAAACTTTATATTAAAATCTAGGTAGATGATATTTGGGGTCCTTGGGCTTCGCTCCTCAGCATCCAACAGCTACCTGTTGTTCGCGTTGAGCAAAATTTCTAGCCAACAGGGACAAGAGGTGATAAACTGCCTGGAATAGCAGGGACCCCAGCCTTTCGCAAAGCTGATCCGGACACTGTTGGGGTCGTACGGCCCATCTGGATACTCTAAGTCAGTGGTTTGCTTCAAGAGGCAAGATTTCTCATAGTCAAAGACCTTTATCGAATACCCAGGCATCACTTTGCGCACGATTAAGGTTCGACAGCTGGGAATGTCCAGTGTTGGGGAATTGACAAAGATCGGGTGTTCGCTTCGGTTGTAAGCCCACACGCCATCCGCTTCTTTGCTGAGCAAAATCCCGTATCCAATCTTACTCCGAGTCCTCTGGACCGTCTCGTTCCTATTCTCCAGGTTGAGCTGTCCGAGGCAGAAGCCGTTTCCTTGAGGTAGGTCATAAAAGATACTGACAGACTGTTCGTACACTGTGTAGAGGCGTCCGACCCGCGTCCGGTGTTCCCAGTAGGCGACGCTGCACCAGTGGCTGTGCTTCACAGCATCAGGCGACACGCTGGCATCTGAGAACAGAGGAAACGCAAGTCAGGTCGGCCGGAGGAAGGGAAGCTCTGAACGGACAGGGCTGCTCAAGGCTCGCAATTCCACCACCGTTATGCACAGAGACACCTTTATCCGGGATTCCCCTGGCTGCATGATGGACTTTGCTGGCCCCGGTCGAGTATGGAGGCCGTGTGCGTGTGTGTGAGAGAGGCAGGCGGGCATTAGCACCTCTGCCTTCTCCTTCCAGAACCCAGTCTCCAAGAAACAGGTTGAGCAGCAACACAAAAGGAGGGATTTGCAATCTCAATCCCGAAAGGACCCCCAAAGACGAAGCAGCCTCTTTCAAGGCAAGTAATCCAGAAAGCCTGGCAGGCTCTTTTCCAACAACAACAACTAAACAAAGCGGGGAATTCCAGAGATGACCACTGAATAAACACATTCCTCATCGAGGGACCTTCCTTCTGCTCTGCCCCGGCCCAGCCTTGTCGCAGGAGGGTTTCTGCTCCATTGCCATTCTCTATTTGAGCCCTATATCCAGCCCCCTTAGCCTTTCCAGCACCCAGATAATTCACCTCCTAACTAAGGGAATTTTGCAGCTCCCCAATGCACGGAGGGGTACTGATCCTTGCGGGTGAACAGCCGACACAGGCCACAAACTGCCTTCCTGTTTTTTGCAAGTCAGGAGGCAAAGGCTGGGCGCCTTGTAAAGGAGACAAGAGCAGCTTGGCCAGGTCTGAACTTGGCCAACAGAGATTCTGTCCTGCCCATTGATCCCAACGGCCAGTCCTGAGTCTCCTTCTTCTGTCATTCCTGTGAGCCTCCTGGCCGGCCAGGAACTCTGTGGCAGAGACCTGCCTTCAGACCTGAGGCAGGACCAAATAATTGAAATGAAATAATGAAATAACTATCAATAAAAAAAGTGGAAGCCACGAAGTGGGTGGATGCAACAACATTGCTCAGGCTAATTATAAACAAGGGCACAGCAGAACAGCCTACAATCCATTGGCATCGGTGCAAAAATGATTATTTCTGATTTTCCACATACAGCCCAAACACAAATGGAGAAAGTTGTTGAAAATGATGTTACGGAATTTTCGCAAACCAACTGATCATGATCTAGAACACCACACCCCAAATAGAGCCATAATGGGAAAGAAAAATTTTTGTAGATACGGCTATACACAGGGACAGCAGACTTGAAGAAAAAAAAAAGATGGATGGAAATGGATAGATTATGGAAAAACCATTATGTAGTGACTGATGCATTAGGTGGAATAACTAACAGATTAAACACATTTTTTGCAAGAAGTAAATATTTTGCTTATGTCAACAGTGGATTTACAAATAACGCCTTGCTGATGGTTATATCTCACAATGATACTTGGGTAATTTCTAGGTTCCTGGCTGGAATCTGAATTTCCAAAAAACACCGGTCAAAGATGTGATTCTCTTTGTGGCATGTTATTCCTTGATGAATAAAAACATGAAGGTCAAACTGAGCATGTTTCCCTCTTGGCTGTTTTATTCTTGCTTGAAACAGGAATCTGGGAAATACGCTTGATCGTCTGCACCTTTATCTGGGACCCTTCAAACCGGAACAGCCCAAAGACAGAATTCCCCCTTTCCTCTATGCCTTTTCTTGGGGGGGGGAGGCACTTAAAAACATTTTCTAGCAGCCCGAAGGCTGTTTAGCTACAGAGAAGTGCCAGACTTAAATAACTAAGCCAACAGAGCATTAGAAGGCTACCCTCGCTCCTACATTTTTGGTCTATGGCTGCACTTCCCCCAGGTCCTGTGGAACATCAGCCAAGCATTCTTGGTTTGTGGGAAAACCCTGAACCTGGCTCAGAGGACGTCTTTGCTTCTGGGGTTGGAATCCAGCTTCCTAACAATCTATCTCAAGACTTTGCCCTTCTGACCTTCTACCTTTATGCCATCACGTCCAATTAACTCTGAAGTCAAGCTGATACCATCATTTTGCTTGAGAGAGTCGACTGGCTCGCTGGATTTCAAAAACAGAGGCCTAGTTTCTCCCCCCCCCACCGCACCCACCCC